TGCGACATGTTCAGAGAAGCCCGTACATGTTAGTGGAAAGGGCCGGCTGCTCTGTGCTTCCATCAACATATCAACAGGCCAGATTAATGGCAACGTTAGGGGTGGACCGGCTCAGGAGGGGAAACATCGACCTGGAATCGGCAATACATCGACGATATACTGTTGATGAGCTCCGGATGGCGAAACTGCACGTTCCTGGGCGGGGTAGGCTATCGAGCCCCTATCGGCGATCAATGGGCGATGGGGTGTCAATGCGATACCTCCTGAGCCCATCCCCGCCTTACGTTACCCCTGACCACACAATACAAACGCATCATACGATAAAAACTGGGTGCCGTGCTCATGAAGGCTCCCTGGGCTAGAGCAGTTTGAATTGCTCGCCAGTGCGGCCCTCTGAGGCCGCGGCGAGATGCAAATGCTGGCCATCGGCATGGAACGATAGCTGGCGCAGTCAACCTACGCCCCATCTGGCCCACATGGATGCCCGAGCCAAGGCACACGACTGCCGTTTTGGACGCCCGAAATTGGTACGGACAAATTGGGCACAATGCCCAACAACGAATGTTGTCCCAAACCAACAGCGGCCGCTAATCGGCAGGCGGCCTTCTGTCTCAAATGGACACAGGCCGCCGCGACACCAACAGCGAATCCTGCTCAAAACGATCAAGAACTGCTGTCGGTCCTTGTGCCCACTCTTTCCGTGCCCATCTCGCGCCCGGCCACCGCGCCGGTCGCAGGTGCCCGCAGCGGTGAAGGAAGTCCCACACCGTGCCCCGCGCCGCTGGCCGCGACTCCGAGGCCAGCCTCAGGCACCGGAGGGGGCCTGAAACTCAAAAAGCACTCGTCCCCGAGAACCGGCTCTGGCCCGAGCAGCATCGAGGGCATAGGCCGCTCGCCCAGGCTCCTTCGCCTTGGAGCACGACTCCTTCTCCCGCTCATCCCTCCTCATTCCCGTCGTCTCCTCAGCGCAGTGCTGCCATCCCTCCACCTCCCTCCTCCTCCTCTTCCTCCTTCTCCTCCTCCTCTTCCTCCTCCTCCTCCAGCCGCCGCCACGGCTGAAGGTCGAGGGACACGCGGCCCTCCCACCCTGTTCCATCGCCCGCCAGGGGAGCAGCGCGCGATGCCCACGCGCCCGCGGGGCCCAAGAGGCCCATGATGGAGGCTCTCCTCTTGCTCGCGGCCGTCGGCTTCTCGCCGCGGGCGGCCGCCTACAGGTCGACAGGCGCTTGCCGCGCCCCTGGACGCATTCAGGAGCGAGAGCCTCAACCTGCTCAGCACACCAGACTCTACGTGTACAACCCTCTCTACCAGACGGGCAGCACCCGCGCGCAGGAGATCACCTGCGAGCACTACATGGGCGTGATCCTCTTCCCTGGGACGAGCCGCCGCCCGACACTGGACGGCCGCCACAGCCTCTTTCAGCACGACTACCACTGGGAGCTCTCCTTCGGCTGGACCAACAAGAGTTGCGGGGGGAGCATCTTCCTACATCAGCGGTCTCCGCAGGCACACCTACGTCGGATCTACCCTCCGCCCGCGGCGCTCTCGGGCCGCTGCGGCGCGACAGTGCCGCTCCTCGGACGTGCTCCTCATGGTTCGGCACCTTTCCGTGCCATCCGAGTCCTGCTCCAGCCGCAACTCATACCGCCAGGTGACCCAGGCTATGATCTCGTGGGCACGCACCACGCTGGAGCCTGTGGGCAGTCGACGCACGCCCTTCAGCAGGGCGGACCTCAGCTCGGCGACTCCGTGGACGAGACGTTTCTCGGCCCCCCGTCCCTGCTCGAGCCCGACTTGTGGAGCGAGGTCGACAGCGCCGTGGGCCCCTTCCTGGAGCTGGAGGGCCTTTCTGGACGTCTTTGGCAACGGTTCCTCTCGGACCACGACACCTTCTTTGTCAGCGGGGACACCTTCATCGGGGCGCACGGACGGTCACGCAGGATCGGCTTCCTCCACGCCCCGTGCAAGTGCAAGGCCCCCATGGGAGCAGGACGCCGCCTCAACACATTGTACGATCGAGACCACCGCTCTGTCTACGCGGGCGACATCTTCGAGGCCCACGCGCAGCACACCGGGGACTACGACACGATCATGTTTCGTCTGGAGGGCGCCCTGAAGTCGCGCGACCTGCAGCAGGCGGTCACGTTCCTCCCCAAGATGGCGCGCCAGCACGCCCAGCAGCTCAGGGACCTCGCGGCCTCGGAGTGGATCAGCATCGTGACCCCGCCCACGGCTACTTCGATCGTCGCAGCTCGGGAAGCGGGCAAGATGTACGCAGAGGCGGCGCAGGTCCCCGAGGCGAAGCCCCAACCCACCACATTTGTACATCGCTCACGCCGAGTTCAAGTACCCGTCGGCCTCCGTGGAGCAGGAGGCCCCGCAGGGGCACGTGCTCCCGCGTACCTTCTACCAGCAGTTCGTTTGCATGGGGACGGGCTCGGAGCTCTGCTCCACCTCAGGCTGCGCACGCGCCACAACGACCAGTACACCAGGATGCAGTTCGCTAGCGCGGACCAGATCACACTGAAGAGCGTCAACCCAGACGGCCCTCGGGAGACATGCCTCGACGTTCTGGGAGGCCGCCTGAAGATGGGAACGGCCCCTCCGGGCCACCTGGAATCGATGGCCCAGAAACTGCTAGACAAGAGCCGCCAGATCTACTACGGCCAGAAGGGCTGACATGGGTGGCGGATCCTACGGAAAGAGATGGGCGACCAGCACACTACGTGACGACGTGAGTCCCTCCAGCAGCTTCGCTGTAGCACCAGGCCCCTCTAGTCGCTCTCGCCGCCCCTGCTCTCTAGGGCGCGCCGTCGGCTCTTTTCTTCGGTCTGTTTCTTTTTTTCCTTTTCGGGGCCTCTGGGTGTCCAGGGAGCCTGCTCGGTGCTCTCCGCGCCGTCGAGCTCGGCCCCCAGGGGCCAGAGGGGTATCACCCCCCGCCCGCGGGCGTCTTCCTGTTTCCTGTCCTGCTCGGCTCTGATCAAAGGTGATCACAGCTGCACGGCGCGCCCACACGCCTGACCCCGTTCGGTCCGAGGAGATCGCACGACTGCTCAGAGGTGTCCCCGAGCGATCTCTCGTTTCGTGAGCTCGAGGGGTGAGTGTCTTCAGACTCACAGCGCAATGCCGAGTCCATCCATCCATCCATCCATCCACCCATCCATCCATCCTCCTCCTCCTCCTCCTCCGCCCCCTCCTCCTCCTCCTCCTCCTCCTCCTCCTCCTCCTCCTCCCCCTCCTCTTCATCCTACTCGTCATTCTTCCTGCTCATTTTCCCTTCTCTTTCGTCCAGCTCCTCTTCCTCCTCCGCGTCTTTGTCCTCCTCCTCCTCCTCCTTCCCCCTCCGCCTCCCTCATCCTTCTCCATGCTCCTGGTCCTTGTCCATCCCGTCCCCTGAGAACCCGTTTGGTTAAACACCATTTGATGAAAACGACCCGGGACCAAACCTGGTGGGTGCAGGCCCGCACAATTGCGGGCGCAACAACGCCCTATCGAGGATTGGAAAATGGTAACTCACTGATCGAATTGACAAGATGGGGATTGGTTAAACTTCCGTTCCACCCACACCTCTTCGGGAGTGCGCTCTGACCAGAATTTCGAAGCAAATCTGGCCGTGGCGACGAAGGAAGGGTCGTGGTATCGACACCTCTTCCTCTACAATTGCACAATCTGAATACTACTCTCCTCTTTCCCCTGATGACGTCCAGAAGATATTCGGCCCCCCTCCGCCTACTGTCTTGTTTACACACAGGATGCCTGGGAGTTGGGTTTTCGCATTGTTTTTTTTCCAAATGTTGCTCCCGCTGGAACGCTGGCCTCATGTTCGGGCTTCCGCTCGTTCCTAATCGTGCTCCCGCTGCAGCGCTGGCCTCATTTCCGCGCTTCCGCTCGTTTCGAACCGTGCTCCCGCTGCAGCGCTGGCCTCATCTCCGCGCTTCCGCTCGTTCCGAATCGTGCTCCCGCTGCAGCGCTTGCGTCATTAGTTCCATTGCCATGCCATGGCATGCAAAGCAATACTAGGTGGTGTTCCACTGTGCGATGCCATGCCATCAGCTGCAATGCTAGGATATGCAATGTTTGACTACGCAATGCCACGCCATACTGTGCTATGCTACGCTTTGATCTTCAACGCCGTGCTATGCCATTTTCTGTTACGTGGCGCTGTACGATGCCATTACTTGCGTTGCAATGCTTTGTGATGCAAATCTTCACTACGCAACGCCACGCCATGCTATGGCATACTACGCTCCTACGTGCTCTTCTACGCCCTGCTATGCCGTGCTCTACGATGAATCGCGCACCCTCTCGGGATCATGGCCCTGCTCGACATCGACTGTGCGAATAGAGAGGAGATCGACTCCATGGCAAGGGATGGGAGGGAAGGGTAGGACGTCAGATATGACGCGAGCGCACCTAGCTTGTCTAATCCCCCTCCCCCCCTGTCCCCCCTCCCCAGGAAGCCTGGAAATGGGCACCACCACCGAAACAGGGGTTCTGCCTCTACTGTGGGAAGATGATATTAGATTTTTGTGCTAGTGGTAACACTTCGGCCACCAAGGAAGCCCGAGTATCACCACCATCACCAGGATCGGGATCATCTTCCCGCGGTGGAGGCACACCGCCGATTTTGGCGTCAGTGCCCACCTTTAGGCCTCCCGTACATGGACAAAAAATTCGATCCCTGCGGCGCACGATGTCCCCCCGGACCCCCCCAATTAATTTGGAGGCTGCGGCACAGAGAGGGCCTGGATGGACAACACATTCGAACCCTAGACCATCACCCCTGCTGAAATGAAGCATCGATTTTGATTTCGGGAGCTTGGGGGGTCAGGAACATCCCCCTCGAATGTGTGAGGCTTCGCTGACTTTGCCCGTGTACTGTCCGGCCCCCTCCTCCTCCTGGCCCCCCGCGCTCCCTCAGTGCACCTCCCCGGCGTGCCCCCGCCTGCTCTGGCCGGCCCGCCCCCCCAGAGAGGCCCGCGGGACGCGCGAGGCCGCACCAGCAGCCGCCCGCCCGTCTCGCAGAACGGGTTGTTGGTGAGCAGGCACACCTCGCGCGGCCCCCCGGGGAGGCCAGGATCGAATCGGCGGAGATCGGCAGGCCAGTGGGCCTCCAGTGGGAAGTCGGAATCCAAATCGGAATCCCAAGTCGAATCGGAATGGGAATCGGAAGCCACCGAAGTCGAATCGAATCGAATCGGAGGAATCGAAACGAGCCCTGGCGGCCCTGCGAGAGGACACCAGCAGCAGAGGAACAGCAAACGGCAGAGAGCTCCGCGCGGAGCTTCCGCATCTTATGTGTATGCAATTTGTCCCGCCTTCGAAACGCAACCCGCCTCTGCCAGCTGCTCTGAGCCCCTCAGAGCCCTCAGCAATTTTTGGCTCCTGGACTACAAGCGCCCCCTGGACTACGCGCGCCCACCCCCCGGACTATCGGTACTCCACCTCCCCGTACCATTGGCACCCGCTCTCAGACTACAGGCCCCCCCCCCCCAGGTCTCTCCCCTTGACTACAGGTACCCCCGAGGTCTCTCCCCCCTCCGAACCGCAGCGACCAGCCAGGACTGTCGTTGCCGCCTGTGTGCGTTCTGCGGCTCGCCCTGGATCGGCGCTCGAGCTGGTCGCCCTTCCTCGGTCACGTCGGACCTGAAGCAACGGTCCGCCACCTGCTATAAAACGTTTGTGTGTTTGTGTGTGTGCGTGTGTGTGTGTGTGTGTGTGTGTGTGTGTGTGTGTGTGTGTGTGTGCGTGTGTCGTGTCTGCCCTGCCGTGCACCTATGATCCCTGAAATTCCTATTTTGCTCGCACTTTCAACCTCCCGTTGATTGCCTCCCATTGGCACTCGATCGTTGGCAATCTGCTTCACGCATCCCGTCAATGCCCTCGCTAAGATGGACCAACCCGCCACGAAGCATATAAGTGTGTGTATGTGTGTGTTGCGCACTTGCTCGGTGCCGACTGCTCGACTTGCTCCGCCTCGTCGCCGCGCGCGAGGCCGACCGCCAAACAGTGGGCGTTTGTGTGTTGTGCGTGTGTGTGTTCGTGTGTGTGTGTGTTTGTGTGTGTGCGTGTGTGTGTTCGTGTGTGTGTGTGTGTGTGTGTGTGTGCGGGCGTATATGTGTGTGCGTATGTGTGTGTGTGTGTGCGTGCGTGCGTGCGTGCGTGTGTGCGTGCGTGTGTGTGTGGCCCCCTCAGAGTGTCGGTCAGCCGACCCCGAAGGGCAATCCGACTACTCTCCGCGCGCGGTGCCGAAACCACGTGGGCTCCTGCAGGCACTGTGGCCCGCGGGCCAAAGTCGTGTGTGCGGGTATGTGTGTGTCGTGTGTGTGTGTGTGTGCGTATGTATCGTGTGTGTGTGTGTGTGTGTGTGTTTGTGTGTGTGCGTCGTATCTGTGTATGTCGTATGTGTGTAATTGTGTCGTATGTGTGTGTGTGTGTGTGTGTGTGTGTGTCTGTGTGTCTGTGTGTGCGTGCGTGCGTGCGTGCGTGCGTGCGTGCGTGTGTACGTGTGCAGCGGCGTCGGTCTCTGCCGGCGCCGTGCCCGCGGGCCTCGCCTGCTGGCCACTGGGACGGCTGGCCCTGGCCTTCGGGCCCGCCGCCGGCGCGTGTGCCCCTGGTTCCGTGGGCTGCGCGGCGGCCTCGGCGGCCTGAGCCTCTGGCAATCCCCGTGCTTCGGGGGTGCACAAACATGGATTAGCGTTCCGTGGATTTGGCGCGCGGTCGCCAAATCCATAGATCGGGGGAGCTGCCCTCCCCAAAATGCGACACCGGTGCCGCCTCGCTCGGCGGCGGAAATCCGAGATTTCCCATGGGAACTGGACCCGTCGCTAATCCACGCCCCCTTGCTCCATGTTTGCGATCGCTGCTGGTTAATCGGGCTGGTACGGCTTCGGGCTGCGCACTGAAAGCGCCCCCGGGCAGTCTCAGCTGGCCTCAGCCAGGGGCGGTCTCAACACCCCAACCCTGGGGCTCGGAGCGCCTCAGGGGCGCCGCCAGAGGCGGCGCCAAGGTGTTGAGACCGCCCTGGACTTCTCGGGGGGCTAGTCGAGGCTGGCTGGGGCAAGTCGGGGGGCCTGTCAAAGCCAGCCGAGACTACCTGGGCGGCCTGCCTGTGCGCAGCCCGCAGCCTTACCAACCTGGACGTCTGGTATTCCCCGCCTCGCTCCCTGCCGCAGCTTTGTTTCCCCGCCGCTGCGGGCCACTGCTCCGGTTCCTGGGCCGCCTCCTGCCGACGGCTCCCCCAGCCCCCGCTGCCCTGTGTGTGCCCGTCGCCGCTCCTGCAAGCCTGGCTCCGCCGCGTGGCCGTGCGCGTGGCCGCGACACCAAAAAGTGTGCGTGCGCGTGTGCGCGTGTGTGCGCACGTGCACGCGTGAAGCCATGCGCGAAGAGCCCCACGTGCATGGAACTGCATGCGCGTGGAAGCGCATGCGCGTGGAATCACGCGTGCGCGGACGCGAGCACAGGCGCCCCGCTCCCCCAGACTGCAACGCCTCCCCCCTCCCCGGCTGCAATGACCCTCCTCGGACTACAGGGCCGCCCCCCACCGATTACAGGTGCCCCACCCCCGGGACTACAGCCCCGCCCCCAGGACTACGTACAGGTGCCCCACCCCCTGGGCTTCAGGACCCCCTAGGAGATTCACGGACCCAGAGTACACCAGAACAGGCCCTCGTGGGGAAGAATATCAATGACACACCGTCGAGGGGAACCTACCAGCATGTTACTGTCACAATGCTTTCGGACTAAAGCGAGAGAATAACACGCTGACGGGCGCCTCACGGTGGCGTGGCATTGGTACTGCTTGCCCCTCACTGCTTCCGAGGTCCGCGCGGATTTCTTGGATCGCCGCAGGAAGAACAGACTTCGTAGAAGGCCTCACGCTATTGAGAAGCCTGCTCATGAGACCCCGAACCTTTCTAAGAAGGCCCCCGCACTCTAGGACCCCCCACACATACATTCTCAGCAGGCCGCCCCCCTCGCGCCAACCCCGTGTGCGTACCACCAGACACCAGCGGCACAGACAGGAACTTCCCTGGGGCAAGGGCTACGACTTCAAATCCTGGCGTCGCGTCAAAAAACCAACGGCAAATTGTTCGTCGACTGGGGAAGAAAAGCTGGCCTCGTGAAAGTGGTCGAAGAAAGCCCCTGGGGCCGACGCCACGATGACAAAGCAACGTCGGCGGCGGCGGCGGAAATCGACAGGAACACGAGTCAAGACAGTGTTTCAACTACACATACTCACTTACCCAAGCTCCTCCAGTACGCTACACATATGCAGATATATCCATACATTTACATACATATGTATATGTGTGTAAATTGCACGTGCATCTGTGTATATATATATACATATACATATATATATATATATATATATATATAAAAATATGCACATGCATATGGGTATGCAAATGTGTATGTAAGTGTGTATGGCAATGTATGTGTCTATGTACGTGTACATGAACATGTACATGTAAATGTGTATGTGTTTATAAGATGTCGGGGGTGACACCGCAATGGAACGGAGAGTCACCCACCGGGCAATCGGTTTCGGTTTCGGTTTCGTGTCGTGCGCGCGGGCGAGGCCAAGCTGCGTGGGCGCGCGAGAGGAATGACCCCGCCGCCGCTATAGGGCGATCCTGATGCAGTGGACCGAACCTCTGCCCCCTGTGGGCGCGCGGTGGCCCCGGGTGCACACACACTCACACACAGACCTTGCCGTCACTATAGGGCGATTCGGATGCAGTGGACCGCCCCTCCCCCTCCGGTGGGCGCGCGGTGGCCCTGGGTGCGCACACACAGACCCCGCCGTCGCTCGAGCGATCCAGATGCGGTGGACCGCCCCACCGCGCCCCGTGCGCGAGCGGTGGCCCGGGGTGCACACATACACACACACACACACCCACAGACCCGCCGTCGCTATAGGGCGATCAGGATGCAGTGGACCGCCCCCCCGCCCCCGGTGGGCGCGCGGTTGCCCAGGATGCACACACGCATACACACACACACGTGGTGCATTCGGTGCATTCGCACGTGTCGGCGCGCCGTTTGTTCTGCACGCGCCCCAGTGGACGATGCCAGCACCAGGGCAAACCCACGGCAAGCTCCACGCCCTAGGCGGAGTTTGCCCTGGTGGGCGAAACGCTCTCCCCAAGATGTGAGGCCGCGCGTCGAAACATTCGGCGCGGCGACACGTGGGGTGGCTCGAGCGTTCCGCGGCATCCAGGCGCAGCGTCGGCGGCGCTGGCCCAACTCTCCTCTGGGCCGCGCCCCGCCGCGGCCAGGGAGACCCCCCCTCGCCCGACAGGCCCCGAACAGTTGCCAGAGCAGCACCACAGAAGTGCCAGCTAGGGTGTCTTCTGGCGGCGCGCGCAAGGGGGGTAGGTGGAGGGGCCAGAGGGGGAAGGGCAAGATCCCTTATGAATTACGCTGGATTCGCGCTCCCAGGGGAAAGATCCTCGGCAAATCACGCGGGATTCACGCTCCCAGGGCCATGATGCCTCGTAAATTACACTTCGCCCGCGCTCCCAGGGCCACGATCCCTCGTAAATTATGCTGCGTCCGCAGTCCCTGAGCCCCCTGAAGCAACCTTGGGCGTACAGGTTCCTGGAAGTCTCCAAAACAAGCGTTTCGCTTGAGAACAAATTCTGCAAAACAAGCGTTTCGCTCGAGACATCCGTAACAAACGCAAAATCTCACTATACCTCGATCTATATATATATATATATATGTATGTATATATATATATATGTGTGTGTGTGTGTGTGTGTGTGTGTGTGTGTGTGTGTGTGTGTGTGTGTGTGTGTGTGTGTGTGTGTGTGTGTGTATCGAGCGGAAGTTTCTCTGGCCCGCGCCTCCTGAGAAGCAGGGGTGCGTCTAAGAAGCTTCCCCTCTCCCCCTGCCCCCTCCTCTGCGCGTGGCGGAGTCTTGGCATGAAGCAGACTGGGGAAGCCCACAGATACTGATACCGCCACTCCCTGGACCTCTCCCGGGGAGCGTCCTGACCAGAATTTCGACGCGAATCCAACGGTGTCGACGAGGGCGTCGGGTGAAGGGTAATTAGCGGTGTGGGCCAACTCTCCCTCCTCCGAGGGACGGGCCCCGCGAGATCAGAGCGGGCCCGGGACCCCAGGGCCAGCCCGCCGCAGGGCCAACGTCTCGCCCACAGCCGCTCCCGGACAGCCCCAGAGGGCCCGTGGCAGGCCAGGGGAGGCCCAAACCCGCTGCCCTCACCCCGAGATGCGACGACGCCAACGCAAACACGGCAGGTCCGCGTCGTGTCGACCCCGCGTTGGTTCTGGACACCGCAGGGATCGCTCAAACTTGAACGATCGGCCGTTCCACTAACGCCGGATCGTTCAACGACGGGCCGACTCTGGGCCACCGGCGGCGTTCAACCTTGAACGCGCGCGCTGGGGTCGCCGCCAGTCGACCAGACCAGAGCCCCTTGCACCACCTCCCCCGCGCCGGGCCCCAGGGGGGGGCCGACTCCGGGCGACAACCCCTGAGATCCGACATCTCTGAAAACTTTAGACACCGTGAGCAATCACGACTGGAGCCCCCTCGCCCCACCTTCTCCGCGCCATGCTTCTCGAGCCGCATCGATCTGTGCGGGCCCCGTGGGGCCCGACTCTGGGCGACAGCGCCCAGCTCCGAAGAAGTGAGACCCAGAGATCCGACGCCGTGCTTTTTTTCAAGGCGGGGTCCCTGGAAGCCTCGACCCGTCACCCCGGACCCGCTTCTCAGCCTGAGTCGTTCCTTGGCAGTCCCGGGGCCAGGTGAGGGCCCCCGGCGAGGGCCACGGCCGCGGCCGGCCGCCTTCTTCGCCACATAGTGCGTGACCTCTCCTGGGCGGCGGGGGGCGGGCCAGTGGGCGGCGCCCGGCGCTCGCCGCCCGCCCTCTGTCGCTCCCCTCCGCCTCGCGCTCCCCCGCCTCCTGGGCCCCAGGACCTCCTCGGCGCCGCGAGGGAGCGCTGCGACGGAGGGCGTCTGCGGGGGAGCGAACAGTGGCAAAAAGGTAAGTCAAACTTTCGGAGGTCCGCGCGGATTTCTCTGATCGGCGGAGGTCCGCGCGGATTTCTCCGATCATCAGCATCATTGACTCCTCCTCCTCCTCCTCATCCTCTATCGGACTACTCGCTTTGATACCCCTGAGGCCGGGTCGGGATTGTCTCGGGGCCTGTTCGCGCCGTCATGGAGCACATCTTTGGCCGTGCTGGGGCTCTCAAAAAGCTGTCACGTGGTGTCCTCGCAGGGCCTTCTTCTGGCTTCCTGGGGCCAAAAGCAATCCTGGGCCCATACGAACCCGAAGAGCTCGACACGCAAACGCACTAAGCATTCTCATGGTTGGGAGTGTTCCTGGGCATCTCAAAACCGCTCTGCAGTGTGCTTGATGGCATCAAGCGAAGATCGCTGCACCTCGCTTCCTCGTCGCTTAAAGATTTCGGTGCTGGAGGGGAGGAGGAGGAGGCGGAGGAGGAGGAAGAATAATAATAAGAAGAGGAGGAGGAGCAACAAGAATGTATCAGGTTGCTACGTAATGGAATAACCCACAAACGATCAATCCACGGGCCCCCTTGTGGGGCCATCAGGCTGCGAGGAAGAGGTTTCCCGCGTCCTGTGTCAATAACAGATTCAAATTTCCAAGGTAACTTTCTGCTTCCTACTGTAAATTGTTGCCGTCCGCGCAAAAGGAGGGGGCCGAACACCATCTTTGTACCACCCCCGAGACGCGCGCTTTAAATTTCTGGGGAGGCCTCGGGCACGCAAAAACGTATGATACTCGCACCCCCGAAACAAGAACCCGTCGTGCATTACACCGGATTCGCTCCCCCGAGGCCAGAATTTTTCAAAGTACGCCAGATTCGCACCCCCCAGGCCAGAATCCTTCATACATCACGCCAGCTCCCAAGGCCAGAGCCTCTTTGAAAATTACAACGGGCTCGCGTCCCCGAAGACAATTCCCTGGTAGATTCGGCCACAGACGCACTCCCGAGGCCAGAATCCTGCGTACATGACGCGTGAGTCGCGCTCCCGAGGCAAGAGTCCATCTCAAATAAATGTACCTGAAACTCGCGCCGAGGCCACAATCCCATGTAAATTATACCAGGTTCGCGCTCCCGAGGCCAGAATTCTTGCAACATTACGCCAGATTGCCGATTCCTATCCGTCCCAGTTTAATGTTCCCAGGTTTGTTCAAGACGGCGCCCATACACAGACACGGGTCTGATATCCTCTATTCTGGTCAAGAGGGGGTCCGCGGCAGGTTGCGAAGCCTTTCGGATTATGCCATTGTACTCCTTCCCCCTCCGCCCTCTCCTTCTATTTCTCTTGGATTTCCTATCCTGCAGTGTGCTATCTTTCTCCTTCTGCTTCTCCTCGTCCTCCTCCCAATCCTCCTTCCCTTCCGCTTCCTCTTCCTACTGCTGCTGCTGCACCCGCTCCTCCACCTGCTCCTCCCGAACTCCTCTGCGGAACGGGAGGCAGAAGAGGAAGACGACCAAAAGCGCCGATGGGGCATGACAACGAAAGGAAAGAGGAGGGAAGGACGGCCGGAGGAACAATGAGGAGAGAGATTGGGGAGGCGGAACATGATCGACCTACGCCCCCGGAAAGGGAGCTGGAACTGCGAGGCATGAAAACGTGTCCAAGCACCCCACTTGTGCAATGGGCAGCGGCAGTGCTAAAGATATCGATGGTGATGATCAGAATGTGCCAGGGGCTGTATAGTGCTGCGCTGCGCTGTGCCGCGCCACACAGCGACATGCCAGGGGACGCGCCAGGGGTCGCGCCAGGGGGCGCGCCAGTTGACGCGCCGGGGGACGCGCCGCGGGACATGCCAAGGGACGTGCCGCGGAATGTCCCAAGGGACGCGCCAGGGGACTTGCCAGGGAACGCGCCGCGGGACGTGCCAGGGAGACGCGCACCGGAACGTGCCAGTCGACGTGCCAGGGGACGCACCGCGCGACGTGCCAGGGATACGCGCCATGGAATGTGCCAGGGAACGCGCCCGGCGACGCGCCAACGGACACGTGCCAGGGGGCGCGTCAGGGAACCTGCCACGGGATGCGCAAGGGAGCGCAAAACACAGAGTTTGGGTTCCTGGTGCCTCCCGGGGCCTCCTGGGACCTCTTGTGCTATCCTGGGGCCCCCTGGGGCCTCCTGGGGCCTCTTGGGGCCTCTTGGGCTCTCCTGGGGCCTCCTGGGGCCTCCTGGGGCCTCCTGGAGCCTCCTAGGGCTTCCTGGAGCTTCCTGGTGAGTTGGGCTCACGGGCGAAAGGAACCCATGTAAAAACATAGGATTGGGGCTTTCGGGCGATAACAACTTACTTAAACGCATATGGCCTTGGCTCACGGGTCAAAGGGACCAATGGAAAGACACATGGTTTGTGCTCACGGGCAAAAGCAACCCATGTAAAACACATGGTTTCGCTCACGGGCGGAAGGAATTTATTTAAAAAACGCTTGGTTCGAGCTTACGGGCGAACGCAACCCATGCACAGAAATCAGATGCGTTGCGATCCAAGGCAAAAATACCCCACGAAAAAGCACCTGGTGTGGGCTAAGGAACGAAAGGAACCAATATGAAAACATCTAGTTTAAGTTCACGGGCTACAGGAACCCAAGCAAACACACATTGTTTTGGCTCACGGGCGAAATTAAGCAATGTAAAAAGACATGGTTCGAGTTCACGGGTGAACGGAGAAAACGAAACATATGACTTCAACCCACGGGCGAAAGGAATCAACATGACATTGAAAAAGGACCCCGCGCGTTTTCACGCTCATCCCGCGCTCGAGGGCTTTAGGACCCCATGTGGTTTCACGCCTGTGCCGCTCGGGGGCGTCAGGAACCCACGTGGTGTCACGCTTGTGCGTTAGGAGCCCACTGGATTTCATGTGTCCAGGCCACCCAAGGACGGATATCTAACATTGGCGGCCTGGACACGTCAAAACACATGCTTCGGGCGCGGGACAACCATGTTGGATACCTTCCCCCAGGGTATCTATCCTCGCGCCCCCCATCGGGACAACTGTACAATCTTAGAAGCACGTGGTTCCACTTCGGGGCAACCATGTAAGATACCCCCCATGGGCGGCCAGGACACGTTAAAACACGTAGTCCCAGCTCGGGACAACCATGTTGGATACCCCCAGCCTCCTCACAGACGGGGCTCCCGCTCGACAGGTCCCCTGAGTCTTGCCCGCCCGACGAGGCCCCCGCTCAAGACATCCCCACAACCCTACAAAACCAGCGTTTCGCCTGAGACATCCTCAACCAACCTGATCGGACAAGAAGGAGAAGCGCCGATTTTGTCCATTCAGCTCCTAGGAGGGACAAGAAGAAGAGGATGATGGCAACGACGAGGTGGCGGACGTCGAGAATGGCAGCGTGGATGACGGGGAGGGCAGCGAGGGGAGCAGAAGGATAACGAGAAGGAAGACAAGCGCGAGGACGAGGAAGAGATGGAGGAAAACAAATACGAGGAGGAACGAAGCGGAGGAGGAGGAGGAGGAGGAGAAGAATGACGACGACGACGAAGAAGTTTTGAAACATCCTCAACACTTTAATCCGCCAGCCGTCTTCCACTTCGCCAATTACCGCTTGTTTTGTGTTGCTCAAGGGTTGCGCGAGGCGTCTCAAGAAACAGTAACTATCACACACCGCCGCCCGGCCTAGACCGTCAAGTCGTCGGTCTGCCCAAGGGGGTGCCGTCCTTGCGCACGCAGCCGCCTGTGGCAAGCGCGTGCGAATGACCGAGTCGCTTGGCCGCCGTGCGGGCCTCGCAATCTAGGGCATCAAGGTTTGCGACATCCTCAGGAAGCATCTTCGTGTACTTCCTAGGGTGGTTAACGATACTCTGCCAACACGTGGTTCGCCTGCTGTCGCACAGGTGGCTCAGGAGGGCGAGGCGCGTGCCGAAAGTGGTAGCGCAGGCGGGGCACACCCCGCTCGCGGTGGCATAGAAGCGCTGTGGGCAGCGCCCCCTGTGCTTAATTCGCCTATGCTGCGTGTACTGCTTTGATGTTTCAAAGGCAACCCCGCACTCAGCACAAGCAAATGGCCGGCAACCGGCCTCGTCGCCTGGGCCAGCGCACACATCGCACACAGAGTCAACAAAGTGCAACAGTGCCACTGACTGCTTCCAGCGAAGTGGGTCTTGCATTGCAAAACTTGTCCAGACTTCGGGATCGTCGTCTGGCTCCGGCAGGCCGGAGCACCTAACCACAAGCTGGCGCATGCAGCGAAGGTCACCGACAAGTAAATCCAACCAGCGCGATCTCAGACCACGTGGGCGCTGCCTCAGGAGGGCCACGAGTGCTGGGGGCCTCAAACGAAGCAGGCGGCCAAGGTGCGTAAGCCTGGCCCGGGCTAGGAGACAGTCAATCGAAGCCGTACGGGTACGAGAACGAAAATCCAAATCGCTTTCGGCCCCCGGGCCAGCCCTGACCGAATCATGCATGCGACGGTGGCCTCGGATGTACACATCATTCAATATCGTCAAAAACGGCCGCGTGGGGACAACCGTATGCAGATTGTACACCAAGCGGGACATGACCAGGGTCTGAAACATCCAGCCCCTCAGGTCGAGGGATAACCGGGCGGATCCAAACACCTTCATGGCGAGCGGGGCATAAGCAGCCAGTGCACGCTTACGCCGGCCATGGGCAAGAGGGACCAGGGACCCCGACACCGAGATCTCGCCCCCCAAATGCTTGTAAGTGGGGACCACATGCAACAAGGCAGAAGAGCTAGGCACACGGATGCCTATGGGCCCGCCTGGTGCGGATCGCCAGGCGCGCGTCCGCGCCGCTGCCCCCTTGCCCCTGTACTTCAAGAAAGCCTCT